GATCTGAAATGAAATTTTTGTTGTTCCAAAAAATTATTCAAAACAATTTTAATCTTCTTTCGATTCGATTTAAGGATATTATTCTTAAATTGTTGATGACATTCTTCATTAAATTTAAAAAACATACTTTTATTTTCTGAAACATTTTATAGATAATTATAGTAAATGTGTAAATATTATCATTGTTTTTTCATTAGTTTTATTAATTATCCGTTAGTAGAATATATATTATTATAGTGAAATTAGTGAATACAATATGATCCACATTTATATAAATATAACATAATTACAGCAGTTTAAAAATACCTATACCAAATAATACATTATTGTAATTTAGGATCAGTTTTAATTGTAAATTAGTCTTCAAAATTCAAAATAAGATTTCTTTCGAATTATTTTGGTTTTATAATTTGTATAAGAATTATTAAAAAAAACTACGATTCTTTTCAAATTTTTAGGAAAGTGTTTGTTCGTAATATTTTAGCCATATAGTCATATATTTTCTAATAATATATGTAACACAAACATTATAACCAGAAATAAGACCGCTGTAGTCTTGAATTTGTTTTAATTACAAATTCTAGGGATTGATTCAAATCCGTCTTTTATTTGATATGGTATATCGTGTGTTATTTGTGGAAAATGGGAGAGTGTCACAGTAAATATTTAGTTATATTTGTGTTATTATAATTAATGAAATGTTTAAATGTTTTACTAACAATAGATAATAATATTATTGTTTTCCATATCGTCACTATCCGGTTATTCAACGTATTTATCTTGATTATTGTTATAAGTATAACCTATAATAAACCGGTTAATGAACACATCAAATTATCATTACATATTTTTTTCTTATACGATTTTCGTCTAATATTGGATAAGTATTATTACTAGACCTACTTAGCATCTACTTCATTTACTTTATCAACTAGTAATTACTAAACTTTACTGAATTAATCGAAGAATATACTATGATAAATTTACGTGCATAAGAATATATGTAAACCGAAAATAGTTCACTCGAAAAATGTAGCCGGAAAGATTTTTATGATTTTGCGTTTAATTTATTGTCAGTGAAAGGATTATGGACAACGTGGCTCGGACTGTAGTAATACAGGACATAAATATGTCGTCTAGCCGGGTAGTTGTACTTAAACAATTATATGGTCATTACACCGAATTTGAGTGCACATGTAAAGCTGCTGGGCCAGACAGAGTGCACTATTATAAATGTGTTGGATGTGTTCTAAAATCAAATACTCCAATCAGCAATTAATTACAAATCTAACTGTAATGCATAACAATATTCTGAAACTACAATAATCATCATTATTATTATTACGCCGAAATTATTACTGTGAAACGAAAATGTAATGGCTTGTACGTTCATGTGGAAGTAAGTGCTTAATGAACTAGAAATGCCATGCCTTGCTATGTCTTCCTTGTTGAAAAATTTGCACTCGTGGATGAAAAAAAATGAGTAATTTAGTCTTTAAAAGGAGATATATCTGTGTTTATGTTATGACAAATAAAATTTTCACAGATGGATAGAAATTTTATTTTTACATGATACATACAGTTTATTTATATTTTACCTTGAGACATTAGTTTAATCTTGATCCTTTAGGAGGTCATATTGAATGAAACTTATAATGTAATTTTATTTTATTAAATACGGTCGTGGCCTAAAGTATAGTAAATGAAAGTTAAATCTTTATACAAATAGCAAATCAGCAGAAAATGGACGGAATTAGGTGCTTAAATTAAAGTGAAAACGATGAGTGGATATTATTAAGGTGCATCATGCTGTGAATCGGATTGTTCGAACTACAGTTAGTGGCGTGCGTTGGGATAGCAAAAGTGGTAGTAGAGTGGGTAGGTCTTGGAGGGACGTGAAATTTGTTCAGGGAATGGAGTGTAGGAGCGTCGGCAGGACCGTCAATAAAGTTTTTGTGAAAGTTCACTTGAACTACTGACAACTTTTCTGTCGGCTAATGTTGAAAGACTGAGCTCGTGAAGAACTAGTGAGTCATGCATCGGGTGAGGAATATTTAATGCGTTACTGGTATAAGATAAAATGCGCCTTTGGATACGCTCAATGATAGCATAGTCAGAGGCTGTGTAGGGGTCCTAGAGAACTGAACCATATTCAAGCAAGGAACGTACTAATGAGAAATAGAGAGCCTTCAGTCGAGAGGTAAGTTTATAGTCTAACGATATTCGTTTTATGAACTCTAATATCTTATATGCCTTACAACTTATTGATAGTATATGATGGTGAAAGTTAAGGTCGGAGGAAAATAGAACCTCTAGGTCTTTATCTTCACCGATTGATGTTAGATTGATATTGTTAATCGAGTAGGTGTTGTGAATAAAATAACGGGATCTTGTGAATGTCATGGATTGGCATTTAATCACGTTCAAGTTAAGACCAATGGATTCAAACCAATTGACTAGAGTATTATGTTCATCTTGCAACTATATACTATTCTATAGAATTATATTAAATACTATTTTTTGACCTAAGGTTTCGAAAAAATGTCCAAAAAGATTTGGGGTTGGTATTTAAACCAGCCTAAATTTGGGTAGTGTAGTTTTTAAAGAAATTTTTGGACTCAGACTTATATTGGACACGGAGATAGGTAAACTGAGCATAATGATGTTGATTATTAGACTGTTTGAATAGAGCGTGGGCTTGCCTCTTAGCAAGGACAATCGATTTATGTTTTTGAGTAAACCAGCCTGGGAATTTAGGTTTTACGTACTTAGTAATAGAGACGATGTTTAGGATGCAATAGTGAAGTGCATCATACAAGACGTAAGCAGTTGAATCAATGTCAAGTAAATTTATTATTTCGGCCCAGTTAAAAGACTCTAAAAAGTGTAAAACTCTTGGCAGTTGGTCTTATGAAAGTTGTAATAGCTATGAGAGACATCAATTATTGGGACCTTATTGTTAAAAGAGAAAAATATTTCTAGCGCTTAAATGTAAGGATCACATGAAACTGCAACGATAGTAGATTTAAAGATTTGGAGGACATTGATGTTAGAGTAAATGAGACCAAGAAGCTTCCCTGAGTGAAAAAGGTTAAAGAAAGCAAATGATTCAGGTAGACAATGACTCGATGAAGGGAAATAATGTAGGCCAGACTCATCACTATCCTAAAAAACGTTTGGAGATTGGAATCACCACAGAGAATTAAAGTGCAGTCGCTGTTGGTCGAGATAATTGATTGAACTGATTCAATATAAATATAAAGACTCATAAACAATGGCATGGGAATTGGGGGAATATATGTAATAAATATAACAGTCTTATACATAAATGAAATTTTAATGTACCTATATTTTTTATAATTTTTTATAAATATCTTCTATAAATACTAAAGATAACTAAGTATAATTCAATGTATAATAATATACTTGTTATCAATTAATATTGGTCATTTTATCAGAATCGAAAAATTATAATTTTATATTTTTCAAAATTTAAATTAGAAATCTTGATAATTCTAAAAATATACCAAGTTGAATAAAATTATTATTCTTAAAGTTCACAAACAAATGATTGATGAATTTAAATATTCTCAATAAATTGTAGTGACATTGTTTCTATAAGTTATTTATTAATTAATAATGATCAATCGATAGGTATATTATATTTTTATTATGAAAACTAACCTAAATGTGTTACTTATTTAACCATATTTATAACAACTTAAAAAGTATGTCGTGAAGTTTTTGCTTAAACATGATGTTTTGAATACTTCTCTTCTGTAGAGTCTTGAAAATATTCAAGTTAAAAAAACCAATATTGCTTATCATTATATGAAATCATCATAATGATATTACGATATCTTTTCACATGATTATTTTTTAAAGATTTTTCTTTTTTTTTTTCATCAATTCTAATCGATTGTACACATAATACTATATAAATACGGTTTTTTATTTCTCTGGCATACAGCTATCTCGTTAACGATTCAGTGATGAAATATAATATTAAATACACCAACACACGAATATGACTATATATAGTCAACCCCCATCACGATTGATGTACATAGAGATTCCATTACCAAGCATAATATTGTTTTCAGGATATATAAAACATTATTCGGGTGCGTCAGAAATCAAGAAGGGTGGTGTTAAAATAATATTTATATCAGTCATATTGTGTTATAATGTTGAATTGGGTGGAGGGAGTAAATCATAGAATAGAAAAAAAAATGGGTACATTGGTAGGTATATTTACATATTTACTAATCATAGTGAATTTGAACTATTGGTATGTTAATAAATAATTCGGTAACAATAAATTCGTTCAGTTTTCGATGTTTTTCCATGTAACAATTATAAAAAATAAAACATATTTTTTATAATGAATTTTAACAATAAAATATTCGCGAGTACAATAAACGGTTGATAAAATACAATCTTTATTATTGTCATTGAAAAATATCAATGAATAAAAAGAATACTTAATTTTTTTTTTTTGCAATCGTCAATGTGTCGGTTGTTTGAATGTGCTTCTTTCTGCAAGTAAGATATCATCATCCTTTCATTGCAGTCCTTGAAAGTTCGTCAATATAGACACTAAATACGAATACAGTTTGATTTACCATCACACATGCGTGGAAAAATTAATACTATATAAGTAATACTTATTTAGTACTATTATTTATTCTTTTTGCGCATAACTTTTTAATACGAAATATTATTAATTTATTTCCCTATATTTCGAGCTTTTATTTGTTTATAGTTGGAAATTTTCATGAAAAATAGTAATTTAGTAATTTTATATATATATATATATATATATATACATACGTATGTATATTTTTGAAAACCGTTCTTACTACAGCAGTTGTGTGATTGTCACCGGGTACAATTACACTAAGTATTGCGGAAACCACCGGATAAGCCAATGGCTACACTGCGCGCCAAGTGGCAGCTAAAGGGATCGTGGCGTTCACATACTACCAGGGACAATCATTGTGCCTGTAGGATATCGAATCAGTAGACTCCGGACCACGTTCTCGTTTAAACCACCCTAAAACTAAGCCGTCTTCTTATCTCTCATCGACTTTGTGAAAAACTAGTGACAAACACAAAACTTTAAAAGGTCACGTCACACAGCGAAAAAAATGTGATCACTTTGGAAAATTTGGCACGCTGTATACACATTTCAAAAGGTGAGGATTCCGTATAGTAATTAATAAGATTGAATGCATATAAACTGTAATAAAAATCATGTTAATTAAGGATTTCATTGGAAAATTATGCTGTAATAAAATGATAGAAAATCTAGAGACTCCGGGAGCACATACTAGAGTGAAGAGTGACATTAGTTAAAGTTTAACAGCTATATTTTTTTATTAAACTTGTAAAAAATATTAAATAAATTTCAAGAAAATGCACTTATAATACAGAATAGATTTATTAATGATTTTATCTTTAGACTTAAAACTTTAATTTATATTATAAACAGATTTGAATTGTATTGTATTTCACTCAAAAAGTAATTATATCTTAGATAAGTTAGTATTTTATTTGGATGAATAAATTAGTAAGTTGAAAAAAAAAACGAAAGAAATATTTTAACTTGAAATTATTTGTTCATTAATTATAGTTTAAGTTTTCTAGGAAACTTTAATTTATACTGAAAATTATCTCTACTTTATAAAGTTCTTATGATTATTATTATCTTTATTGAAATATAAGTTTTTTTAAACTAATTATAATGTATTCTTCAAATTTTTATAAATAACTAATTTATTAGCAACACATCTTTTTTCTTATAAAAACAATAGGACAGTGGCATATTGTAATTTAAATAAAATTTAAAATAAAAAATAATTTGCATAATTAAGGATGTTATCCATTGGTAATACCTTCAAAGGTACAAATTCAAATAAAATCTGTTCATTAAAATCTGAAATAATGTTTAAACAATCAATTGATTAAAATATCAATATAAAAGCACGGAATCACAAATAAAATAACTTATAGTTTTATTTGTTGTATTTTATATTTTGTTGTCAAACATCGAAACGGTTGATAGTAATCGACGACCGTAAATATTTAGAAACAGCGTAACGGCTATTAGATCTTTCCAAGGTTAATCCAAAGTATCTTTGGCCTCTATAAATAAACGACAGAGACATGCGAAGAGTAGCGCAATGAATGTGGTAATATGGCCTCCTTTTGACCCGAATCATCAATTGTATCAAACGGCGAATGGTTTTGAGAACAAATCCAGACATCCAAGATAATCCAACCGGAATTTTAATTTAATACCCCAACAACCCAATCCAAGGTTTTGGAACCCAAAATTAAAATAAATTAGATAACTTGTTTTATACATGATTCCTGTTTGAATTTAGACTTCATAAACTTGTGAAAACTTAAAATAGTCACTGGAATCATTGGGAAACATTGTTAAAACAACTGCGAAAACTTTACTGTGAGTGAATTTCGGTAATAAAGTTATTCATAATTTCATCGTTTGAATAATAACTGAGGGACTGTGGTCGCCTGAACGAGTTATGTAACTTTTTGGTCGAGTGAACATTTGTGAAGTAGTAAAAACCAATTAAAGCTAAACTTCGTTGCGGTAATAAATAGCGACTAAAAATTATCATCGGCTGACGCGTTATTTTGCTACACAAATCATTTTAAAATATTTTTTTATCGTAGTTTCTTATGAACATACCACATAGCAATTATAATGCGTAAGTAAATACCACGGTATAGTAAAGAATCTTTACGACTGACGGAAGATAATAAAATTATTTGAAAAAACATACTTTATAAACCAATAACCGCACTGCGTCTTCGGTAAACATTAATATTCGAAAATGTATATTAAGAAATTATAATTAAATGTAATAAATATAGTATAAGTATTAAAAAAAATGTTTTATGTTGTAATTTTGAATGTTATATTGTGTATAACCCTCTTGTAAAATGACTTATGCCTGATTGGGTTATTTTCGTGCTCAGCCAAGTTTATAACCAGATTTGTGATACCTTCGCTTTGAATTTTTTTCTCTTTTATACAACAAAGCTTTACATTCCCACGGGACGGACACGGCGTTTTTTCTCTTTTTTTTATTTGTCTGGGTCTAGATGATTTTTCTTCCTTGCCATGTAGTGTCTCATCCAAACGCGTAAGTCTTCTCGATTCCGGAACCAAGTCGTGCTTCCTATTTGCCTTTACCCAGTTTGCATACTAAATTCATTTTTCGTTTCTAGGTGCGAAATTATCCTTTATACTCCGCCTCCTCTTCTCACTTGATTTACTTTTCATTATTTTACTTGCTCGCTTTTTTCGAGAGCTTATGAACCAAACTTGACGCAATGTAAGGGAATAGTTATGTGTGACGTTATCGATAGGATAAAAATGTATTAGAAACGTGTCTGCATTCGACGGGCGCGAAATTGAATTCGGTTTTAATCGTATTCTTATATACATCTACATCGGTGCCATATATTATGAATTTAAGTATTACCAAAGAGGGTGAAAAGAATTAAATAAGTAGATAATACCACGCGACTCAATTGAATATGTCATCCGATGAACTATAAATAAACAGTTTGATCAATGGTACTTGTTAAGCTAGGATTAAAATATCAATATAGTTATTTGAAATTAGTTTAAATATTTTCATTCACCATACTGTATCAATTTTATCACCGAGTGTATATTGTTGTTAACAATACACGTAGGTGTATGTCTAACATTGAGCAATCAGTAAATAAATTTGGTTTTTAAACAATTATTATTGTGAATTATGATTGTACAAAAGTTAAAATAAATATACGTGGATATTATTTATTCAATGACAGGTAATACTAAAAATAAAATGAATTTCATATTATTATGAATAATGTTTACAAGATTGATTGATTAGTCGGTTGGTACGATAATATACAATACGTAATAAATAAGATAAGTTTCAACCTGATATTTTATGATGCACCAACTTTTCTTAATATGATTTTATGTATTTTGAGACGTAGATATAATTAATATCGAATTTTAACATTTTTTGATAGATTATTTCTAAATTAAATTAATCATAGTTTAATAATTTGTATTTATTATTTTTTATTATTTTTTAAATTTATTTAAATTTAACACCTCCAAAGGTGTAAATAGTACAAGAAATTACTTTCAAACTTAAATCTAATATTACACAAAAAAATAATCATAATAATAAAGTACAATAGGCAGATTAAGAATTATACATAACAATATTTTTGAATTTAACTAGAGAGTCAAAAAGAAATTGAAATTAGATATATTATTACAATGTTTGAAAATATGATACTCCGGTCTACTTGCAATTAAGTTATTAAAGTAATGAGAAATCAAAAAGAGAGAATTGTTTCTAAAATTAAAAACTGAACTCCGAAATAACTTTTTTTTAAAAAAAATCAGGGCACACTAATAGCCCAGTTAATAACTTATAAATAAAAGCTACAACATTATATAATCGTTTAGAAGTTTAATGATTCTTGACCAAGTTCTTTAGCATTAACATCCAAACTTTCATCTGACCTTCCTAGCTTAAAAACCACTATTTTTAAACAACGCTTCTGTATTTTATCAAGTATAACAATTAATTTTTTTTGTTTTAAATTTCAGACACTGATGAGAATTCTAAGATCAATCTAAATAGGGAGCGATATACATTTTTTAGACAGTTAATATCTTTAAATAATAATATCTTTAAAATCGGATTAAGTTACGTTTAATAAATCATAAGGTACGTAATGCTTTACTATACATATATTGTATCAATATGATTATTAAATGTTAAGTCAGAAAGCAGTAACACATTCAAATCTCACATAGCAGTTGAATAATTCTAGGGAAAATCATCAATCGTATCTATATGGAAAGAAAAGTGTAAAAATTTTTATTATTCCGGTAATCAAAAATTACATCCAACTAAACACTGTGCATAAATTTCACGAATCAATCTGTTAAACACAGTTTTTTGTCATTTGAAAAAAATTTGATTAGATAAAACTGATTTTCTATCCCTTTGACGTTTATAATACGTTTAGCTTACGAAGGATAAAGTATTCATACCGTTATAATTTAATTCTTTACGCATACAAAATATGTATACGGTTCCGATCGTTTTCACAGAAATATTTTGTTTAAAAAGCTAGATTAGAATATTTAATATTTCCATGTGATAGATAAACTAATCAAAATGCAAATGAACTGTGTGCGTGCGAACGATTATTCGCTGTTTTAATTATGCCTTTTACGTATTCGCTGAGGCGCGTGTGACATGCCATTTTCAGTTCGTTTCATTCATAAATTACTAGATTATATGATGATGTGAGTATGTATACATTTTTAGGTAGCTGGGTCGACAGGAAAAAGGGACTTAAGCATTTTGGTAACTTAAAGCCAACGGAAACTTTGAATTTACATTTCTCCAGAACACGCGCATCAGTCACCTTAGACACCCCTCGAACGATGGTTATGCAAAAAACTTTTGAAACGCAAAAGAAAAGTTGCCCCGGCAATCCGTCATTCGTGAGCGGAACGTTCTTCCATGTGACATGTTAGCCAAAGAATATATTAGGTCTTGAATATTAATAAGCTAATAGGAGGAAGGAACCATCGCTTAAATGCGGTGACACGCGCACTGGATAGTATACACGATAGTTGATAATAATATAATTATTAGGGAGCGGATGTTTATGTTCCAAAAAATTTAAAAATATGCATGCAATTATGCTCTAAAAAGTATAAAAATATGCATCAAAAAATTTTTTATTTACAACTTATTTTGTTCATCAAATATTTAAAATATATAGATATAAAATAATTATTCTTAAAATTAAAACTTTAAAAAGAACTGTTGGTACGTAAATACGTAAATAGGTATAAAACGTTATACAATATAGAAACACTTTGCACGAAAACGAAACTAGAACACAACTGAAACGCAAAACGAGTACACAAAACAACGAAAGGTAGAACATAACTTCAATTAACGAAATTGTTCGATATCGACTCTGGCGATAACGGTGTTTTATATTTATTTTTGTCGCGGGATAATGCAAATAACGCGATAAGACTCAGAAATCGAAATAATCGATATTCCTGCCGCCGCCGCCGTTGCCGACGGGAAATTTTGAACTATAAATTACGCGTGTTGAGTCCGTTAATATATTATTATATTAGTATATCACGAAAAACCTCAAATATGCACTAAAAACATGATGAATATAAAAATATGATCAATCAATTAAAAATCGAAAAATATGCAAAAATATGCAAAATCAAATTGGTAAATTTGAATTCTTAAGTTTATGAAACAAATTTATATCTTACTCCGCATTGATTTAAATGTTATTAAAAATATGATAAATGCATAAACATCCGCTCCCTGATAATTATATTAACATAATACGGATTGTAATCACAATTGAATTTTTTTTTTTTGTTAGCAGCCCAAAGGCTGGTTGGTAGCAATTTTGCGATTGAATTAAGCAAATCAAATTTTACAAAACCCGTCGAACCGAGCTGCTGGTAATTTGCAAAATAATGGCGTAATATTTACGGATTAGGTATTTATTGTTGTTCATTGGTTTCTCCATTCTTTATTATCATTGTATAATTCGTCAGAACTGTTGGGTTTTTATTATATAAATGTATAATATAATAAAACAACCAAATTATATTCGATGGATGATAATATTTAAATTGGTGAATTCTATAACTATATGCTTGACGTAAACGTTCGGCTACACGTGCACTTCCACAGTAAATATGAATGTTGGAACTTTCCGAGAATTAAAGATTGACAATCTCGACCGCGACCAAAATCATCCCCTTGTTTGCAAGGGTTGTTAAAGTACAATATACGAAGCTTCGCAATAAAAATGAATAGTTACGTATTATTCAACATCCGGTGTAAAACTTTGGTCGGCTGTACGTTTTGCTACGATGAGTAACTCTTTATTAATATGATGACGACATGGACCGCAGAACAATAAAAGAAACTGCTAGATTTCAATGATTTTTTTCTCGAGCTTACGCGGGTACGCCGTGAAACTGAAATTAAATAAAATTCATGTTGTGATGTGGGTTTATTATTTCGACCATTGTTGTAGCTACAATAAATGCATGTGTGTAGGTTTGTGTGCGCGCACGCGAGGGCCGCGGTTACGTGACCGTTGGAAACACAAAAGGGTTAAATCTGACAATCCCCATACCGAGAGTGAAAATTATGTGGGGTGGAATTGAACGGTAGAAACTATTTTGAAAAAATAAAAATCCGTTAATCCCCTCACGGACTAGTGTGCGATTGGCATAATTCTCGCCAGGATTTGAAATCATATACAACGCGAACGCGGGGATGTTCGTGAAATTCTTTACGGACCGAACATGCTCGGTTGCGACTCGTGTAGCCAACCGTCGGTTTTCGGAATATTCATATTGAGTTTTTATTTGCAGGTACGTAGAATGAAAGCGGTTCGACCAACGTTCTTGCGTTTGCGGTACGGGGATATCGAGAGAATTCGATCGTATGAGATGACATAACAGCGGCGGAGTCGTGAGTGCGGACGAACACGATGGTGGCGATCGTAAGCGCTATCGTAGTCTGTTTGTTGTCGGTGGTGGTCGCCGTTACCGGAGACCACAAGAAATGCACTTTGGAGTTGCCGACGAACGGCTCGCGCGACGTTTACTGCGAGGCGATACCGTACAAAGTGGACTTGAGTCGCACCGATGGTCTGACCGCGCTAGACGCATCCAATAACAACTTGGACGGCATCTACTTGGCCAGCGATAAGAACGTCACGCTGTCCGCGCTGGACTTATCCGGGAATAATATCACGACCGTTTGCCACGTGCTCACCAGCGACGCGGTCAAGGTGGATTCGATGATCCTGTCGTTCAACAAGATAAATGATTTCACCTTGTGTTCCGAAGTGAGAAACCTGACGCTGAGCTGGAACCACATGCGATCGCTGAAAAAAGCCGACATGGTGAACGCTTCTCGGCTAGAGGTGCTGGACCTCGGGCACAATTTCATCCTGTGGATCGAGAACGACACGTTCGCCGGCGTGCCGGGTCTGCAGTGGCTGGACTTGAGAGGCAACGCGCTGACCGGGATATCGGAGAACATGTTGCCGAGCGCCACGTTACGGCACTTGGACGTGTCCGAGAACAATGGGCTGGACGGGTCGACCACGGTGTTCCAGCCGTTCGAGAACCTGGTCGAGTTGAACATCGCGCGCAACGCGCGACTGGCGCCGATTGTTCTGGGCTCCGGTCCGAGGCTCCAAGCGTTGGATGCTTCGCACACCAATCTCACCGAGGTGCCGGTCACGCCGGCGCCGCTGTTGGGCTCGTTGGTTCTGAGCGGCAACGCGATTGAGGCAGTGAACAGCGGCGACCTGGACGCGTTCCCGCTTCTGCGCATGTTGAACATCAGTGCCAACCGCATCGGCATGGTCGAAGACGATGCGTTCGGCCGGCTCTACCTACTTGCCGTGTTGGATCTGAGCGGCAACCGGTTGACCGCGGTGCCGAAAAGCTTGCCGGACGGCCTGGAGATGTTAGACCTATCGGCCAACCGGATCCGAAGCCTCAACGTGGACGATTTCACGGGCTGCAGGCGGCTGAAGGTGTTGAACGTGCGCGGCAACGGGCTGCGGCACGTGCAGGACCTGACGTTCGCGCCGTTGCTGTTCCTGGATACGCTAGACCTGTCGGATAACCCGATTGCTATGATCACGCGGGAGATGCTGACGGGCCCGGTCCGGTTGAAAGTGCTGAAGCTGGAGAGCCTGACGGCCGCGTCGTTGACGCCCGTGTTCCCGTTCACCGACACGCGTTACCTGAACCGCATGCAGCTGGCACGCAGCCCGCATCTAGCCGCGATACTGCTCAACGACACCGCGGTACTGTCGTCCATGCTGCAGCTGGAACATCTGGACCTGACGGGTTGTGCGGTGACTGCGCTGCCTGGTCGACTGGCCTATTGGATGCCGAAGATGAGAACACTCGTGCTGGACGAGCCGGTCCGGTGCGCGCCCGGCTCGTCGTGGTTGTCCGACTGGTTGTGCGACATGTTGCGCGCGTTCGAAGAGTCGCCCGGATACCGCGGGCCCGCCGAGACCGAGCTCAGGTTGCGTAACTACCGGCGACCGCCCGTGATCGTGTCGCCGGCCGAAAACGTCCGGTGCAAGCGCGACGACGGCCACGTGCAGCGTGTGTTGGACGTGCAACGGTGTCGCGCGGCCACGACCACTGCGGCGACGACCAGCAGAAGTACCCACCCGGCCATCACCGCGACGGAACGGATGGCCATTGCCGCGCGGCTCAGGGCTGATGATGGTACGAAAAACAAGCACGCCACCGCCGCAGCCGCAGCTGTGGTCGTCGTCGCCGAGCCCTCCGTCGTCCCGGCAACCTCACGTCTTGGTGCCGCCACGTTCACGTGCGTCGTGCTCGCGCTGGTGCTGTTGACCTGCGGTACCGTCTGGATCGGTGCTCGGGCCCACGCTCTCGGCCGGTTGCGTTGGAGGCAGAGCGCGGCGGACGTCGACTACCTGAATATCGAGATCAAAAGCTTGGAGAGTTTACATCATCATCACGTGGAAAGGTGGTAAAACAATAGTCTGAAGTGTAAACCGTTTATAACGTAACGATAATAATAATAATAATAATACATACATATATACGACCTAACGAAAACGTTTTATTTTTTTAATTTTGTTATTTTGTTTTTTAAATCTTCGTATTATGTGACCGAAGCCGAGCGGTGGCGAAGCGAACCGTTTTAAGAATAAATCGTAAATAACCGGCGGATTCCAACGCGAGTTGTCCCATCGAGACAATTGCAATTTTCGACGATTTCACTTTGCATCGCGATATCGATGACGTAATTGCTAAATAGAATGTATCGAATTATTCAATATTAAGGAAACACTCGCGTACCGCTCAAAGTTACGTTACGTACGAAAACCCAGGTTTACAGTTGAAAACGGGCGTTGAACGATACGCTGTTAATATGTTGTAAATTATTGGCTTTTTTTTAAAAAAAAAAAAAAATCGTATTGTCTTTGATTTGATTTTATAGAACACATTATTCCAACTGAAGTTTTGTACGATTATAATTAATCATAGACCTGACGTGTAAATATTAATTGAAGTAGATTATATGGAAAAAAATAAAAATGATTACTGTTATTATTTTAATCTTTATTGTTATTATTTCGTTCTTAATTATCAACTTTAAAGAAGCAACAAGAAAACGCCGAGTAGCGCGTGTTTGCCCAGTAGAAATATATGTGTATACTTTTTTTTTGGTTCGGCGTCTTTTTTCGTTTAACTGCTAATGATAAAAAAGTGTTACAGTGCTGTTTCCTGTGTGTTGAGTAATTGATGACAACTACCGGGGCCAGTTGGCGTTGATTTATGGAACTTTTCCAGGGTCTGATTATTTCATGTCTCCTGCCGTTCTTTCTCCGAGAGAAGGCGAACATTATATATATATATGTATATATATGTGTGTGTGTATAAAATACGAAAAAAAATATTTATATATAAATGTGTATATATGTATGCTTATACTTATATACATGTACTACAATAATACGCAAGCTAGCACAATGCAACATCTTATCCAGGTCACGTAGACAGCGAAATTGTCGGGTTTAGCTTTAGCCGCAGATAGAAAACCCATTTCTTTTCTTTTTTTTTTTTTTATCTCAGACATCACAAAATATTTTTCTTCGTCGCCCGTCGAACAAAATATTAATCATGAGATTTTTTAATTTAAAAAATAACGTTAGAAATATCTTGCTCATGTAAGCGCATGTAGGAAGTTTAGTCATTTTTTTCATTTTTTCTTTTTTTTTTTGTCACCTTATTTATTCAAAGTTTTTATTATAAATCGCTTGTACTCCATTATCGTTACTTTTTTTTTATATAATTTAACTTTTTATACGGTTTAATTAAAACGATATGTTGTTAAAAGTAAATAGACTCATAAATAAATTATAATATGCTTTATTCGTGGATTAGGTAATTACAAGCTTTGGTTAATTATTTTCAAATCAAATATCCAATTAAATTCTCAAACTCTTATAATATTTGTAGTTATTTTTAACGAACTAAAGAAAAAAGTTTTACTTTAAATAATTAAGTTTATATTTATAATTAGAACACTGAAATAGTTTAAATGTATTAACGAACCTTAATGAAGTAATTGGAAAATTGAAATCTTACCAATATCAATTAAAGTATTGAATAAATTTTATAATTTTTACGCAAACGCAAGCCATCAACAGAAAACTAAATACGTGCATAAAAATTTTGTACTGCGGGTTCGTTTTGAAATTAAATATTTTCTATTGATTATATTATACTATGAAAAATTAACGACAACCTCTTCTTTTTTTTTGATATACAATATTAACAATAATTAAGTATTAAATAAAACCCTTTCAATTAAGCCCCAAAATTAATAACTTTCAAAAACTAAAATATAATTATTTAGAGATAACTTGAATAAAACACTGTTGTTACTTAATTGTTCATTAGCTGTAAGTATAATAAGACCGCAAAGTTTTAAAAACATACAATATGAGAATATATTAAGAAACGAGTGACCTTAATAGAGTTCAATCCCTGAACATATTCAAATTTATATTTAAATTATAATATCAAAGAACTTTTTCACAAAAGCTATCAGGTGCAATACGTTCACAACTTTTGATATTTTATTGTAAGTGTTATAAGAAAATATTGAGTGTGAGTACAATACCGTCAGCCGTCACGGTTAAATTTATCCCATCTCGAACAGAATATTATGGCCAATTACTTTCTGGTTGTTATAATATATATAGTATATATATGCGCCTTGTGAAATAACTTCAACAGATACCAATTTCATTTCCTCCGTTTATTCATATTTTCCATTCAACTCGTAATTAATTGTTTCACGAATGATTTATCGTTTAAATATGGTTTGGTAGTCATTTTTGAACGATTAAAATGTCAAATTACAAAAGCAATAACTTTATAAACATATTGAATTAATTATCACGAAGTTTTAAGATAATAATAAAAAAATTGGAATCAAATAAATCATCAGTAGTTTTATTAATTACTTAGGAATAAAACTTTAAAATCGATTGTTATCACTTCATTGTTAGTTTAAATAAATAAAAAAATATTTTGATCTTCATATTTTAGTTAACATATTTTTTGTAACAATTGTTTTCAAACAATTGTGTTTTGAGAAATTAAATATATATATGTATATGTATACGATATTAAAATTTTACACTTTAAACAGTAATTAAATTTTGTTCCAACATTTTTTTAAAGCCAAATCACAATTATATTTATTTTTTTATGCCATTTGTCGTACTATAATGTTGGTATCCAATCAAGGTACCACGAAAATTGTACTAAATAATATTATTTTCCTGTTTACTTTTTCCACGAATTTTGGGTTTTTTTTATTTTTTGATTCATTGCGTAATATATTTTGAACAAAAAAAAAAAAAAAAAAATTGAAGTATACATAAATCACCTGGCAGACAGTATGCAGCGTTTAATGAGTCAGGTGCGGGCTGGGAAAAGGGAACGCACCAAATGGAGGCGAAGAAGTAATGGTGTTAAAACATAGTTAACGTTTTAAAATAATTTTCAATAGGCACTAAACATAAAATATTTATACACTATACATTTAGTGAAAATAAAAAAAGAGACATGAAATGACGTGGGCTATCCCATTAATCATGCTCGGCTGATACGGCAAATATGAAGAAAGGGACGTTTTTAAACGTTTTTGCTAAGCAAAAATTTCAATTATTTGATGCACATGTAAATACGTATTCGTTAGTGTGTGTGTTGAATGTGCTTGGTAATGCACTATTAAGACAACTTGAATCAAGATAATATTCTGGATGAACATACGAGTATGAACATACGATTATCATGCGGTTTTGTACCGGGTTAAACGTTACTATAGATAAATATTCTGAGAAGTCATTTAAAATATGTTTTCAAAAATTATGTTAAATACGTAGACTTACATATTTTTGATATATATTTATTTTACATATTATCAAACCATGAGAGGTCGACTTATGTAAAAATAATTCATGGTACAATAATTGCAATAATTAATAATTACAATAACAATTATTAATTATATTCAAGTACTACAATTGCTTAAAAAAATAATAGAAAATTGACGAATATATCATCTGATTGTTTAGGTACAAATAGTTTTTAATATTATCATGGAAAATTTGAATTATTTTTTATTATGTATTTTGTGTCAAATTTCCAACGAAATTACTTAAAATTGCGTTAATATTATAATTATTGGTTTGTCTTACTGTCTTTGTATCATTTCAAACTTATTTATTCATACACAAGACATTTAGATGCATATAGTATAATTTGTAAATTATATATCAGCAGTTTTCTCGTGATTACTTCATTTAAACATGTAAGTTTTGTTGGGTATGGTAGTTCTTAGTGATCTAAAACAAAAAAAATTAATGAACGATGAAATTAATGACATTTATTATTTATAATACTGAAAGCAGAGTTTAATTTTGTAGATTGAGGTTTACTATACCAGTGTGATGGTACTAAATTAATTTTTAAAATTACATGAAATGTTTGAAACAAATTTTTTGTTGGTTCACCAATCGTTATTATGTAATTATTGATAATTATACGTTTCATATAAAATTCTGTCTCAAGATTAATCGTAAGTTTTAATTTGATTTATACAATTTAAATATTACATTTTTAAGTTGCAAACTTCAGAATGACCCATTTTGGATACATTAGACCATGGCACCATTGATGTATCAAATATACTACATAAATAACCGATATATTCGTACATGGTTTAGAATTTTCTTGCTCAATTACAAATAATCATTGGCCTGAAAACAGATCGAAACTAAATGGACTTAAACTATATCTAAACAACACATTAGGCAATTACATGAAAGTGAGCCAACCAATATCAGGACAATCCTACAAAATTACTTTTTAAATCATCTATCCATTAATCTTTTCAGACGTTACCCTTGACCAGTCTTATATTTTTATTTTTTACCATCTTTTTTTCACCCTTAATATCAACCATTTATAACTGTATAGACACATTCTAAAGTTCCATTAAATACACTTTATTATAGATTTGGAATCATTCCATTTATTTGCCATTTTTTCCCCATTGAATATGATTATAATTACTTTTAGTTTTAATTTTTTTTATATTTAAAAATTATTTTATAAAAAGCTGTGGTTTTTAATGACGGGACAGACAAATAATAAGTTGTTATAAACCTTATTGATTAAAAATGTGATTACTTTGTTTTAAAAGAATGATTCTTGTATGTAAATGGGTTTTACTGAATTATTTATATAATTTTTTGAAACCTTAAGTGCTTATAGAAGAGAAAATTATTTTCTAATAAATTATTTTTACAATTTTAAATTTTGAAATGTTAACAGAATAAAATTTCAATAAATAAATATTCGATATTTCTTCTATTTAGTTTGAATATTTCGTTTTGCTTGATAAATGATACAGTAATTTATAATCTTAAATTGAAAACCAAATCAACGGTGACGTTTTAATTTTTTATTATTTTCATTTGCTTCAAATAAAATATAGTACTTTACAATTTTATCTGAGTGTTATATAACGGAAATTATGAAAAAAAAAAAAAAAAACGATAAGAATAATATATATTATACTTTCTGTAGTATTTTATAACATTTTGTGAACATTTTTGTTTTTACATTATCATCATTGTATATAGGTACAAACCAATCATTTTTTTTCTTATCGTAGTCCTCGTAAGTTGTTAGTCAGAACTTGTGTTTTTATATAATTAAAAAAAAAAAATATCTATTGATAAAAACAACATTACTAAATCAAATCGCAAGTATTTAGTACGGTCTTTTTAATTATAATTTTGTAAAAAGCCGCTAGGGATGATGTAAGTGTGACATTTTTTATCCAATTTTCCAAAATGAAAAAAAAACAATTCTCACAAAAAGTATCTCGACTACAGTATTTTAATCATTCA